TAGTTATAGGTGAACTTGATTCATATATATACCATTAATACATTTATACTATCTTCTCGATGTATTGTCTCAGGCTTTGTCAAATGGCATTTACAAGAGTTGCGTGCACAGAGCAGTGGTGAACAGTAAAACCGTGAGGAAATCTCTTGCTTTCTTTCTATGTCCAGGGAAGGACAAGGTAGTGAGGTCACCTTCTTCCTTGGTGAATCCTAGAAATCCTAGGATGTATCCAGACTTCACCTGGCCAACCTTACTGGAATTCACCCAGAAACATTATCAAGCTGACAAGAAGACCCTTGATGCCTTCTTAAACTGGGTTCATCAGCAAGGTATGCAGGATCAAAATGAAAGAGACATAATGGAAAAAGGGCAACAGAAACACCAAAAAGGAGAGGTCAGACCGTAAGTAGCTGTCACTGGGTTAGTGCTGGACAGAATATATTGATATGGTATATATGTAAGAAGGATAATTGTATAGGAATAAAGAACTAATATGGGCTCCATAGCTTAGTATTTTTACTTTGTCCTTTAACCCTAATATATATGTGGATTAGAGTTGCCATTCGGAAATTGTTGTAAAATGATGTAGCTGTCGCCTTTTGTATTATCAGTATCACAAAAAATAAATTACTAAACTATGAAAAGCTCAAATGCTCAATAAACAAGAGTATATTTGATAAAACTTATAAGTGTTTCAAGTTTTTTAACGTTATTTATATTTCATAAGTTAAAATTTTTCTCTTAAAAATTTATATTTTTTAATTTCTTTTTAACCTTAAAAAGACATTAAAAAGTAAATTTTAAAAAAATTTAAATTTTTACTTTTTATTAACTTTTTTTTTACTCATTTCTTACTATTTCTAAAAGCAATTTTTATATTTTTCTTTCAATAAAAATTTAAATTTATGACTGATAAGGAGTATTAAAAATGTAAAAGCTCTGCCAAACATTCCCTAAATATCAACAATAGCTGGAAACATCTGCTTCTCTTTCATTATGTTGTTCCGAGGATACTTTTAGTTTTGGGGATAAAGAAAAGAGTTAAACGAAATTAAGCGAAAACAATGATTCCTTATTTTGGCCACATAATTGGAATTTATATTGTTTGAAACATCGTACAAAAGAGGAAGTCAACTAATGTTTATTAATTCAGGGGGGTGGGGGACACCTGACTTATATGATGTGCAAAGTGCAAATTAAGATCAATATTTAGGACTTAAGCTCCTTTCAATAACAAAACAGTAAGATCTTAGAGACCAAAATGGACAGTACTATAACAAAAGTATAACTACAGAAAGGTCCATAAACTCTTTCGATTGTGATATATAAATAAATGAATCAATGTCTAAGCATTGTAGCCTACGATTTTTTTTTTTTATTATAATCGAATAATTGGTTGACAACATGAATAATCTTCCGTTTCCACATCTCTCCCCACCTAGTAAATGAATTGTTAGTACTATTTGAAGAGTGAATCGTTCAACGAGAATATATATCAAAAACATAATGGAAAAATATCCACCTCCCATCACTCTTCAACTTGGAGCTTGTTCTTCCTTTTAAGAACCCATTACTAATTTTTTTAATGAGAGAATCCATTACTAATCCCAGTGCGGTTCTCCAATAATTGACTGATTGTATTCTGAAGAACAATTGAATGCATCTTTCATGCTTTCTAACGTTTGTGTGAAATAACTGATTTTGGGTACAATTTTCGAATGACCTAGATATTTAATCCAAAATCAACGGCAACCAGTTAGACAGCAGAAAAAAGTGACTCATCTCAAAAGAAATATTCCCAAACTATATAAACGATTAAAATTCCTGCATTAAGACAATTATTTAAGAAAGCCAAGTTTCAAAGATATTAAGACTGGGAATCATACACGTGAATTTCCTAAAATGAAGATATTTGTTCAGAAAATACAGCCAACTGATGAGAATCTAATGAAGGTTTGCTATTTCTGTCTAAATTGATCGTAACTCCAAAGGCAGAAGAACTAAAGAAGAGTGTCTTCACAGGTTAACACTGCATGGAATTTGTTATCTTGTTCCCATGGATGAGTGCTAAAGCAAATGAATTCAATGAATGATATAGAAGAATGAACAATGTGGGATAGAGAAGAAAAGTTCTACCAAATCCCTTCTCCTGCAGTAGTTAAACCAAATATCTTTTAACCGTATGCAGTTTCGGAGTGCATCGAGCTTGACCCCAAAAGCAGGCTCATTCACTCAGTTTGCAGTTCCTAAGATAAGGATGATCATACTTAATGTACTTGGTCCAGTAAGGCCGATATTTTGTCATGGCTATCTCCAGCCATGGCTTCATGTTGCCATTATAGTGGATAACTGCTGCATTTTCGATCTCCCTCTTGTCAACACTTGGATTGTAACCCAAACCAAGCACATGCCATGACTTCTCAAGTGGATGCGTCAGACCATAAAATGTAATCAGTCCTGGAGGCAGTGTCCCAAGCTTCCAGAGTGTTCTTTCTTCATTCTGAAAAAATGCCAGGGTGAGAAAGAGAATAGAACTCAGAACATAAAAATACTTTACAGAGGGCCTTATATTTCCTTTCACATATAAAAACCATTGACTAATTTACTATAATATTATCAATTTTTGCAAATGCAACTAAAGCAATCTAAAGCACCAAGACCATTGATGATATAGATAACCTTCACTTATTTCACCCCAAGAATTGAATTAATTTTCATATCATGATGCATGGATGCTTTATAATGAGAAAAGTAAAATGCTTATGATGAAAACAGATGAGCAACCATAAGAATAACTCACCAAGTTTTGCCACTTGTGATATATGCCTGTGATGTCCTTCTTTTTCCACTCTTTAAGATCAAACATATTCATCCCATATGCCCACCCACAAGCATTAGGATCAAAGTTCTTTCCAATTTTAGGATTTGAAAAGTTTAGATACTTATCAAAACGATGAAAGCTATCACCACAGGTTTCAACTGCACCATTAACTTTTCCACGAAGATTCACCGACCACAATCCTGTTAAGTCTTTCTGGACAACAATGTCATCATCAAGAAACAGGATCTTATCCAACTTGGGATAGAGCTGTGGCAGATAGAACCTCAAATGGTTAAGCATTGAAAGATACTTTGGATTCCGATACTTCAAATTTGAAGAGCCAGATGCAAGATTGTTTGGTTGACCGGACTTGAAATAATAATCTTTCATTGCAGCAGACTCAAGTTGCCGCAGAACAGGGCAGTACGATGAATTAAGCCACTTGAATTCATCAACATTTTCAACATGGATGGTAGCTTTTCCAGGGGGATTTAACAGAAACCACATATTCATTGCCCCAAAGTTTAGTTTATCTGTAACAAGATGGAAAACATGTTTTGATGGATCCTGCAATATCACAATTTAAAAAATAATTTTAGTCAAGATGGCATCTCAACCTTAATTTGAAAATGTTAAAAAATTTTCTATTAGACATGCAGAATAAGGCAGCTTTAATACCTTTGCATTCATGACAGTTGAGTTGACAACAACTGATGCAGCCAAGACATTATCTGAGAATAGGGCATAATGATAAAGATTTGGATTTTCCAAATTCTCACTTCTAGGGAATTTTCTGTTCTCCAGAGGAAGGAGATGGTATTCTATGGTCAAGCGCATGGACAGGCAATGGATCGCATTTGGAATTGTTTTAGCAGCTAGTTGACTCAGGAATGTGCTCTGTTTCTTCAAGCTCCTAACTTCCTCATCTGCTGTCTGAAGCATTGCTCTGAGAGTTCCAGTGACTGACTTGCAATCATATAATTCCCCTTTTGCTTTTGATAGAACTTGGCCCATAGCTTTCAATTTTTCAGGTGCACTAAACTCAAGTTGCAAGTATAACATACAAAATTAAAAGCTGCCAATATCAGTAACAGAGAAAATAGGGAGAAACCAAGACTATAACAGATAATTGAGTACATTGAAAAGTAATTTCTTAATACCTGTGATGTAGATCAGCATCAACTGTTGCCTCACCTAAGGTGCGGTGACTCTCTTTGACCCTAGTCTGTAACTCTTGCATCAAGTCACCCTTGTTTTTCATCTTTGCAATACTTATGTATACCTTTGCCATTATAATTTGGTCTCGCATCAGGCGTACAGTAGAATCAGGGTTCTCATTCTCATTTTCTTTCCTCCAAATACTGTATTTTCCCAGAACTGCAGAATCCACTGATTTGGAGTGTTCGATGGCTGCATTTTCAAGTTTTACTGAAGCTTCATCATCTTGTTGTGACAAGAAAGCTGCCCTCTTTTCACGTCTTTTCTCTCTCAATTGCTGCAGAACATTTTAATTTGAATGAGATCCCCTTTAATTTGTTGTACATTGATCATCTCAGACTGCTCTGAGTTATCAGATATATTCATGTGTGGACAGAAAACAAATAATTTGATGCACGCAAGCAAGCAATGCATGAGAAAAAGATAATTACCCTTCGAAGTACTTTTGCAGGAGAATCATGAGATTGAGAATGACCATCTGCAGGGGAAAATCAGATAAGAATGGAACAAAAATATAATAATGACCATCAGGCAACCATCCATTCATAAAGGTATTACCATCTGAAACCTTGCCACCTTTGATTCCAGGTGTCTCTTGTTTGACGTCTGCAGCTTTCTGGTTTGATTTTAAATGTTACATTAAACCAAGAATTCAACTAATCATATATGTCATTATATAATTAATTTTTCAGCAAAAAGCTCTGGAGTGGGGAAAAAATGCACTACATTTGAGTCAATGCATACTTTAATCCTAACCTGAGAGGTAGAATCATTATCAACTGAAGTCTCTATCCCAGAAACTTTCCATGAAGCCGAAACATTGTTTTTTCTGAATGAATCAAGACTTAATGGGCCCAAATCAGCTGTGCTTGTGGTTATAACATCTATGACCTAAAACGTTGATTTAATTGGGATATCAGGCAATCAATAAAATTGACATTCAAAATACAGTTACTTGTTGGAACAAGAAAACGTGACGAATGCATAGTAAATATTCAGCAATTCAGACTTACTTCTTTTGACAAGAGAGATTTAATAGATTGCAATGCCAGCCTTTCCCTCCAATCCAAATTCTGCAGCACTCAACCATTTTAAAAGCTTATTACGAGTTAAGCATAAAGAAGCAACCAAAATCTACCATCAAAAATATTAAGAGCAAAAAAAAGGCTTTAAAGAAGCTACCTGTTTTGGAAAACCACTGGTTTGATCTGTGCACAAGTAACCATAGTGAGCACCCAAACAAAAACAAACTATATTTGATATTACAAGTCGAAACGTACATAAACATACATAAATGAACGCTACTGGCAATATCTAGGTTGCCAGAAATATATTTAACATTTTTAATGACGAACAATGGAGAACACAGTGCAGACATCACTCTAAAGCAGCATTCTAGCATTAATTCCTACAGAAAACACAGTGTAGATAACACCCTAAAGCAGCATTCTGAAAGTTATAGCTTAAGACTCTAAGAGTCAAAGAAACATTCATACTATAAAAGTCAAAGAATGAAGTAATTAATGCATAAGGAAAAAAAAGGAGAACAAAAGTTCAACATCAATACATCTAACTAATGATAATGCATCCTCGTTTGGGAGAAAAAACCAGAAACATCAACAAAATTGGGAACAAGAAAATTGTCAACAACGCATTTCTGAAGTAATTCAATGAATTAAAATCAGTGTTGATGAACAGGATATCAAAAATGCAAAAACAACACGAATACCAATATCCAACTACAATTAATAACAAAGCGAGATCTGCAAAATAGACCTCAGAAAAAAGTGGAAAAAAAGTAAAAAAAAAGAAAAGATAAAGGACGAACCAGAAACGTGAAGTCCGCGACCGAAGAAGAAAATCAAAGGCGTGAGAACTGAAAACAAGACGAGAACGACGACGGAGAATCGAGATCCGTTGCCTCTACTCCTCGGACCTCCAACACCAGACAAGCCCCCACGCCTCAACGCCATCCCCTTGCGAAACCTGAAATCAACAACAGAAAACTCAGAAAATGGATTCCGATGGCGGTAATGTGAGGCAGGAATGACGATTACCAGTGAATAGCGAAGAGATCTGGCGAAATTGAGAGGAGCGAAAGCGTGAATTTGCTAATAGGAGTCCATAGCAGAGCATGAGAGCTTGAAAATTGCAGGAGAAGAAATATTCAAGAATTTGAGGAGAACTAAAATGCGTTAATTACGTTTTTCGAGAAAGATAAAAGGTAAGGGATTTATCAAAAACACGGAGCTTAGCTTTTCGATTTCTCTTTCCCGTTAATTTTAATTTGTTTACTGAAATGATTCCTTTATATCCATTTTTTCTGCAATCTAAGTAGCACCGCCGACATATGCGATGTCGTTTTCAGGGCCAGTCTGGCATATAATGGAGCCAGACGGTCATGAACTGTTTTGGTTATTTATTTATTTATTTATTTTTATATTAATTTTTTAATATTTAATAATTATATTAAATATTAATTAATATATAATTAGATTAAAAAATATTTTTTAATATTTATTTTTTATTTATAATATTAAAAAAATAAATAAAATTCTTTTCGCTCGAATAAATAACTTATCTTATCGATGTTTTTTTATCATTTATAAATGCAGATCTTTTATTTTGTTTACAACATTTTTTCAACGCGAGATTGCGGGAAGGTTAAAGCAATTTTTTTTCGAATCGTTTTCTTATTAAGAAATTTGAGGTCACAGGTTGAACGGTTAAACGGCTATCCTTTTCAATTTTATATTTTGTAAATTAAATCCACACAACATTTTAGCTTTTGTCAAACTCTTATCTCCCTGCTTGCTTCACAAGTCCACGATTCAACTGAAAACAGGACAATGCTTTATAACCAATTAGACTTTTACATTTGTGAAAAAATCATGTTTTACCATTAGAATTGTACTGCAAATATAGAAAAATAACTTTGATATTAGAAAACTTATCCTTATTTAATTGTTTAAATTTGTATTATTTTTAATACAATTTAAATATTATAATAATTTTTTATTTTTTATTTTAACATTTAAATTATATAATCTAATATAATTCCAATTGTATAACAATTTTTTTTTTTGTTTGATATTATGAATAAGAATATTAATCTTCCTATTTCAAAATAACTGTCATTGTTTAATTTTAAGCTTATTCTAAATTAATTATCATTTTTTATTTTTTAGAGTAAACAAATATTTTCTTTATACTTTAAACTTATTATTTATTTATTTTGATTAATTATCTTATCATAAAAAATTTTACTGTATCTTTTTTATTTTTTCTTAAGAGTAAACTAGAAAATTATCTCTAAATTCTTAATTTAAAAATAAAAAATTACAGTTATTTTTTATCAGTGAGAGGCCTTAGTTCTTTACAGTTGCACACAACCTCCGATGATAACCACCGGAGAGAGCTTCCAGCCACACGGCCAGAGTGAAGTATCATTCTCAATTCCTTAATCCACATTCCATTTTTCCTCCAACAGGGATTACCAATATCCATGTCACTCCAACATAGGGAAACCCTCCAAAAGAACCAGAAGAGGAAAATAGGGATGGAAGACAAAATCAAGACAGTATAGAAAGTTTATTCAAAATGACAAATAAGGTACACAGAATCTCTAGCTAAATTACTACATAATACATGGATCGGCACCATAGCAGACATTTACCAAGAGAACTGTAAAAGCTTCAGGATTACCATCATCTGGATTTTGAAGAGTCCATGCATCTCAGAACGGGAATATATGATAAATCACAATCAAACGTCCTGCAATATCTTTCTCTAGCCAATCACAATTAACTTGTACTTATACCTCTCCGTGGGAAGATGTCTCAGTCACATAATAGCTACATCCAAGTAATCTCCAATCTGCATGCATGGAACACCACGTTAGTAAGGGAGCATAAGCATGATTCAGAATGGTGCTAAAAAAGGCCTGTTAGCTTTACCTCGAAACTAAGTTCAGCCAATGTTTTGCTGTCGTCTAATCGCCTCCCATTTCCATATGAAAAGGTTTTCCCTACCTTCATGAAGACAATGCATGTCAACTTGTCAAGATCAAGCTGATTGACAGGGCATCATTTATGATTATGTATCAACAACCAAAGCACAATGAATAAATCATCTCATATTTCAATAGGATCTTTATCAATATGGCAATGATATAGGTATAATACCATATAGGATTGTAAGCTTACAATTGTAACATGTCATTAAATGAGTAAATACATATAATATCACAGGTGGATCCTTGAATTAAAAAGCCAATTATATTATGATACATCATGATTGTAAACTAATAATGCCACATGGCAATGTAACCATATCATTTTTGTTACCATTGACAGTTACATCCAACCATAAAAGTTCACCACATGCTCAATTTTAAGTTAAATTCAATAGTGTAGCAAAAGAAAGTTTTGATTGAGAGTAAATTAATGATTTATGCATTATTGAGGCCGCAATGTTGACTATAACAATGAGCAAGAACCAGGGGTGGAGAGAGAGAGGGGATAGCGGGCTAACCTCCCTCACTACAAAGCGACCATTCTTATCAGGATATACAAAGGCAAAGGATAGTCTTGCATCTCTTCTCCTTGCTGCTGGAGCAACCTCTTTGACCTGTGACAGGGAATAGAGAATGAATTATTGCAGAGAATGATAATGAGTGGTAATTAACATTGGCATTTAGTCCAAATAGAATGTTCATCTACAATCAGCCATGACAATCTAATGCATTTCACAAAAATGGTTAAAAAAGGAATCTACTCTATGTGCATAGGCTTGAATCAAGAGAATTCCATGTATAAATGTTCAACCCACATACCAGGTCAGTTAACTCACGAAGTGTAGCATCCTTCCATGTATAAATCTGAACCTCATCCTTAGGCTCCTTTCCTCTTACTGCAAAATCTTCTTTAGAATGATGACCTCCTATCTGCAAAGTTCTTCAATGGGATGAGTAATAACCTTATGAAGATCATCTAAATCAAACCAACAATTTTAAGCATCTAATAATGCATATGTGCTAAACTACAACAATTCCATTTGGTCCTTTTTCACAAAACATAATTCTTTTGGGTACATAACAAAACATGGTTAACACTACAGGAGAATAGACAACTATTGCACTAAGAGGAATGCTAAATGCAGTCACTTATTTCTGCACTCTCTTAACACTCTCTCAAGTAAAATAGCCACGTGAACTTTTTAACTGAAAACTTTGAATTGCGAGCCAAAGATTACTACGTGGCCATTTTATATGAGAGAGTGTTGGAGAGTGCGAGAGAAAGGCGACTGCACGTAGCAGTCCTCACTGCACTAAACAAGAACAGATCCTGGCAGATTTAATGGCTATACTTATCATGCGGTTAATGGTTCTCTTTACAAATATATTGACACTGACCACAGAACATATTTGTAGAAAATCAATTTTCAACTATCAAAAGAAAAAGAACAATAAATATATCAGTGCATGTTTAGCAGTTTGCTTTAAGAAAGCAACTCAGCCTATGTGTAGGATAGGTAGCGTTTTAGGAGACCTTTGATTTCTCAAGGGAAGAAAAAAATCACCAAGTGCCTGAATCAAGAGAATTCCCAAAGAACAACAGAAAATTAATTTCATAGAGAAAAGGTATTTAAAGAAATATCACATCAAATAACATCCATAAACCAAGAAAACCACCAAAAACATTGATTTCACAAGATTATCCCATTAAAGGGGACATGAGAATCAAACCTCTGACAAATAAACATACCTTGGTAAAAACCCGAAGCAGTAAAGGACAAGTCTGGATTGCCAAGGGACAGAAAGAAAAAAAAATCACAAATAAGTTAGGGTCCAAAGAATAAGTGTATCAATAATAAACAGAAGGATGATCCTATCATACTACAACAGATGTATTTTTATCCACAAACAACAACACCAGTTGGTTATTTTCTCCTTAACATGTTACAATACACAATCTCAATGGTTACTAATTAGTAATTTATACAATTGAAAAACCTTTTCCAATGTTTAGTAATGCTATAATCGAAGAAAAAAAAAGTCTTAAATTCCATTCTTCTAATATAACAAAACGAAGCACTTAGACGGAAATTGTTCAAAAGCAACTTATAACCAAAGAGCAAGACATCTATCAAATTCATCAAATTAACTGCATATTTCCCCAAATTCCACATTTGCAAAAATTACAAACACCAAGAAAAAAAGGTACACCAAATATATAACCATGGAGAACTATGTTCATCCCTACACATAATAACTACTATATCCATGTCCACATTTTGAACTCAGATTTCTGAAATTAACAAAATACGGACTACCTAGTTTTAACTGCTATTTTAAATATAGACACCACTAATTCATGGAATAAAGTATAGGTGAAATCAAGAAGATTATATGAATTGCGTGCTTGAAAACCTTAAACAGCTAAAATCTCAAGTGACATGCATATCAACGCGAAACATATGCATATCTGGAATCTAGAGAGAGAGAGAGAGGGCGAGAGAAGAGAACCTTCTCACGATCAACGGGCTCGAAGCGAGGGCGAGGGGGAGGAGGAGGCGCTCTCGCGGAGGCCGGAAGCGGTCTGCCTCCCTGTCTCTTTGGCGCATCTGGTGCTCCCGCCATAACTACTCTTCGATTTCTCGAGAAGTTTCTCTTCTGTTTGCTTTTACGGGCTGCAATCAGGCATCAGCTCTACCCTTCCCAGCTCTGGAAAGGCAGATGAAGAAATAAATCCGAATCTGTGAGTTCGGCTGGATTGGGCCATGAATGGGTCAGAATCTAAGCCTAGTTTTTGGCCCATATTGACCACCAATGCGCCATTTTATTTTTAAGTTAGACAACAAATGTTGAACTGCTGCTTCTTCCTCTTTTATTTATTTTTTTCTAATAATGATTTTATTTTTTTCATTTTTTAAATTTAAATATAACTATAGAGATTAATGTGTATCAATATTGACTCAAAAAAAAATTAGAGTCATAATTTATATTTAGAAACTAAAATCTCAATTCAAAATTCAA